TCAATTTCCTTTCTTTTTCTGGTTTGTGTAAAATTCTGTTTATTCAGTAAATATCATATGTAAAGAACCTATCATCTTCATACTCTGCTGCCTTCACCCATCCTTCCATCTCCTGCTTGGTCTTTCACAAACTCTCCTACCATTTACCTGACAAAAAAAACTATCAAATAAGATTGAATGTCTCTACACAACACAGGAAATCCTCTATTTACTTTGTTCCTAATTACAGTGTTTCACTTAAGACAAGCATTAAAGGTTACAATTTAGGACCAGTGTAAAAAGAACATTACACCTATGAACATTTAAACTCTCCTTACTTAAAAACTGGGAAGTCCATGCGTGTTATCTGTGTTGCAAGATCTTCTGGCACTACACGTAAGAGATCCAAGACTGGCGGGTTATCTGTATCTTTCCCTCTCGCTGGTAAACTGGCGGATTTATGGCTGTGAATTCTGGGGAGAGTTCTGAAATATATTTTAAAATGTTATACTGTACAGTAGTTACAGCAAACTGACAAGATGAAAATATTACTTCTCATGCACGCACACACACAGACACACACTACTATTACTACTACTACTACTTTGCTGTCACTCAGAGTCTAGGATGACGATCATCCAGCTATGATACAATGATATGAGCTATTAGGGATGTCACCTAGGTTGGTGAGTTTTGAGGCGACTAAAGAGGCCGATACAGGTCCTGCAGGGTCTTTCACTTTGTTGCACATGTGGAGGGCTCCATCTACTGCGGAAAAACACTGCCACCGTGTTTTTCCGGCGTTGGTGCTTGTCTGCCTCGGTTTGCAGTTGGGCTAACTCGAAAGCATTGACACTTCGTGAGGTGCTCCTCCAAGCGTTATCATGTGGAATACTAGAATCCAAGGTGAGGGGGTCGATATGGCACTTTTTCAGGCTTGTCTTAAGACTATTCTTATACCTTTTTAATTGCCGGCCGGTGTTACGTTTACTATTCGTTAGCTGACTGTAAAGTAGTTGCTTTGGCAGTATACTGTCGTCCATGCAGGTAACATGGCCAGTCCAACATAGTTGTTCATGGATAATGGTAGCCTCGACGCTCCTACAGTTGGTGTCAGCAAAAATACTGGCGTTTATTCTCTTGTCTTCCCAGCGAACTCGGAGGATGGAACGTAGACTACGTTAGTGAAAGTTTTCAAGTGCCTTGAGGTGCCTCCTGTATGTGACCCATGTCTCACTGCCATATGGTAGGGTGGGGAGGACCACTGCTCGATATACGTACAGCTTTGTAGATAATTTCAGCTCCCTACAGCTGTAGACACAATTTCGGAGTCTGACAAAGGCTTGAGATGCACATATGATCCGATGCTGAATCTCTTCATCGATGTCTGCAGTGGTGGACAGGTGGGAGCCGAGATACCTAAAGTAGGTAACATTAGAGAGGGTAGTACCGTTCAGCTGGATAGATAGTGAAGGTGTGTCTGAACCAGGGGCAGGTTGAAAAAGAATCTGAGTCTTACGTACATTCACCTCAAGGCCGAAGTGTGCATATGCATCTGCGTAGGTGTTCAGGATCTCCTGTAGGTCGTGTTCAGTGTGAGCAACAAGGGTGAGGTCGTCTGCATACTGAAGTTCAGTAATGGAAGCTGCCGACACCTTTGTTCTTGCCTGGAGTCGTCTTATGTTGAAAAGACCCCCCTTCACCCGGTACTCGATGTTCACCCCGCTGACTAAATTGGCACTGGCACGAGAAAGGAAGGCAGTCAAGAAGGTGGAGAAGAGAGTTAATACCAGTACACACCCTTGTTTAGCCCCCGTTTGGAGGGGAAGAACTCAGACTGGGTGCCATTGTGCAGGACACTGCCGTTCATGCCATCATGGAGTTGCCTCACATTGGCGATGAATTTTGGTGGGCAGCCAAAACGGATGAGAGTCCACCAGAGGGCTTCCCTGTTGTCTGAGTTAGGTCGATGAAAGCCATGTACAGGTCACAACGCTGTTCTCTGTACTTTTCCTATATCTGGCGGGCAGCAAAGATCATGTCAGTAGTGCCATGTGATGGTCTAAAACCACATTGAGATTCTGGGAGGAAGTTTTCCGCCTCAGGAAGAAGTCTATTTAGGACTCGAGCGATAATCTTGCCAGTTATGGAGAGCAGCGAGATCCCACTGTAGTTGCCACAGTCTGACCGGTTTCCCTTGTTCTTATAAATATTGACAATGAAGGCGCCTTTAAGAGCTTGGAGAATTTCCTCCTTTTCCCATATATTCTCCAGGAGAGAGTGGAGATGGCTGGTAAGCAGAGGTCCTCCTGCTTTATACACCTTGGCTGGGATTCCATCAGGCCCTTAGGCTTTGTTATTTTTCATCTGTTTGATGGCAGTAGCAACCTCATCCAGGGATGAAGGATAGCTGAGGTGGGTCAGCTCTGGATGCCGAGGGACCTGCTGGGTTGTCAGGACATCCACATCGGTGTTTCAGTTGAGCAATGAATGGTAGTGCTCTTTCCAGCACTTAAGGAGGCCTTCATCGTCTTTATTTATGAGGTTACCGTCAGGTGAGTGGAGGAGGGCTGCGCCACGAGTGACTGGCCCATAAAATATTTTAGTGGAAATGAAAAATTCGCACATCTTGTGCTGATCTGCAAGTTTTTGTGCTTCACATGCTTTATTTTTATGCCAGTCGTTCTTTAGCTTGCCAAGTTCCCGCTGGGCTGCCGCTTTCTTTTTGGGGAAGGTTATCAGCTTTGGTCCGAGACTGAGGGTTGTTCTGCCAGTCAGTAAAAGCAGCACATTTATCATCAATGAGTACTTTGATTGCCCTGTCATTTTCATCAAACCAGTCCTGGTGTATTATTTTGATCTGGCCGAGGGTCTCTGCAGGTTTTTGTCATAACAGTATTAAGAGTATTCCGTTTGGCACTGGGATTCACGTTGTTTGCTGTTGGGTTGTTTATAAGCCCATGTTTGAGCTGCTCTCTGAAAGCATGTGGTACCGCTGGATCCTCCAGACTCTTAGTATTAAAACCTCTTCTGGAGGCTTGCTGCCTTCGCCATTTTGGGGTGACATGAAGTGAGAGCTTGGATCTGACAAGTCAATGATCAGTGTCACAGTGTTCTGAGCCACGCTTGGCACGGGTGATGAGGACATCTCGGCAATCTCTTTTTCTGACAATGATGTAGTCAATGAGATACCAGTGTTTGGATCGTGGGTGTTGCCACGAACCCTTGAACTTGGCGGCCTGCCTAAACAAGGTATTGGTGATAGTGAGGTTGCATGCAGCACACTTGCTGAGGAGGAGTAGGCCATTGGGATTACACTTGCCTAGTCCATTTCTCCCTATGGTTCCCTGCCAAATGTTAGCATCTCTGCCAACTCTGGCACTGAAGTCACCAAGGAGCACAACCTTGTCTTCTCTGAGGATAGAGGTTAGCACTCTGTCAAGGTCAGTGTAAAAGGCCTCCTTGATGTCATCCTCTGCATCCAGTGTTGGGGCGTATGCACTGATGAAGAAGGCATGACGTGAGTGATTCAGTGGGACTTGAAGCGTCACGAGGCGCTCATTGACCCCAATATGCATTTCAGTTAGCCTGTGTAGGATGCGTTGGTGGATGGCAAAGCCAACTCCATAAATGCGGTTTCTCTCCGCAGCAGGCTTACCCTTCCAGAAGGTGTAGCCAGACCCCCGTTCTGTGAGTTGGCCCTCATCTGGGAGCCGGGATTCGCTGATGGCTGCTATGTCGATGTTATACCTAGCCAGCTCTTTTGCCACAAGGACAGTTCTTCTTTCAGGACGCACATTTGTGCCAGTATCCAGAAGGGTCCTGACATTCCATGCAGAGACCATATGAGGTTGTATGGTTTGTTTTTGTTTGGATCTGTGATTTTGGTTGTGTTTTCGACCACATAAGAATGACCTTACTGGGTGCGGTTGCCCAGTCAGGTTGGGTTTTTAAACAGGCTATGTTTAGGGCACCTTTTCTAGCACGCACATGCACCACACCTTCCCTTATACAGCCTCAAATATACTCTACCATTCTCATGACATTTTGGTCACACACACACACACACACACACACACACACACACACACACACACACACACACACACACACACACACACACACACACACACACACACACACACACACACACACACACACACACACACACACACACACACACACACACACACACACACACACACACACACACACACACACACACACACACACACACACACACACACACACACACACACACACACACACACACACACACACACACACACACACACACACACACACACACACACACACACACACACACACACACACACACACACACACACACACACAACACACACACACACACACACACACACACACACACACACACACACACACACACACACACACACACACACACACACACACACACACACACACACACACACACACACACACACACACACACACACACACACACACACACACACACACACACACACACACACACACACACACACACACACACACACACACACACACACACACACACACACACACACACACACACACACACACACACACACACACACACACACACACACACACACACACACACACACACACACACACACACACACACACACACACACACACACACACACACACACACACACACACACACACACACACACACACACACACACACACACACACACACACACACACACACACACACACACACACACACACACACACACACACACACACACACACACACACACGCGCACACACACACACACACACACACACACACACACACACCACCTCCAGCTCTTCATCCTTGCCTTACCCTGTTCTCAACTTCTGCTTCCTGCTTTTCTTACTAAACACAGACCCACATGTACAAAACTCAAGTGCCCCCCCTGACAAACACTACACTGAGAATATTCCTTTTTTAGTGTAACAACTTGTTTTACTTGCATTCTCCTTTCACATCATTGAAACAATACCCCATTCACCTGCAGCTCAAATGGGTCCTAAGAACTGGATCCTAACCCCAATCATAAGTGAGGTTGAGCCTGTTGGGTCCAGGGATCATTTTACAAGTCAACTATCTCAGTATGTGATTCAGCTGTCAAAACACCATTCCATATATTAATCAATTGAAGCACTGTACAAGACACCCAGTAGATGATGGATGCTGCTGAGATACTGCCTGAGCTTGACTAAAATTAAATAAACTAAAAATTATGAATTACAATATTGTACAGTACTGCAATAGAAAACATACTGTATGGCAAATGATATCTTATATTTCTGTAAATGATTAAAAGAATATGTATAACTCTTCATATGTGACAGAGTAATATAAATATATGTGGCATAATGGGTATTCAGAATGCATGAAGAAAATTCACAAAGTACTGTAACTGGACATTCTTGTATGACTTGTTTTATCTTGTGCTCTGGGATATACTTCACATAAATGTACAGTCCACTTCACTAGTGCATAATGGGTATTCAGAATGCATGAAGAAAATTCACAAAGTACTGTAACTGGACATTCTTGTATGACTTGTTTTATCTTGTGCTCTGGGATATACTTCACATAAATGTACAGTCCACTTCACTAGTGCATTTACAGAGGATTGTCAGGTTTTGTGCAGTGTGGCAGCCGTGTTTGTTTACATTCAACAGAAGGAAACTCACCATAGTAAACATACTATGGAATAAAATTAAAACAATATTAAAACAAATACAGCACCTCAAAGATAATGATATGTGGAATGTTTATATGACAAACCCATGTAAATGCACTAGTGAAGGAGACTGTACTTGCATAGGAAAAATGTTCCTTCAAAAGGAAATACTACTGTATAAATAAGTACAGCTACAGGTGAGGCTTCTGAAATCAACCAATACTGTACTCCGTTATTTACCCACTTACCTGTGTCACAGGTACAGTAGTAGATGAACTGTAAGGCCTTAAGCTGCAAAGACTTAGCTGTGCTTGAACAGTATCTTTTGATTATTAATTACAGGTACATGCTCCTCCTGATATAAAACATTTGGAAGCCCTACACTACTTACCCGTAACTATACGCAGCTTTTGTTAGTGCCTTCATGCTGTCGGGTGAATCGTAGTTGGTCTCTTGGACTACCTTGCGGTAGACAGAAGAAGGGGGAGAAGTACCTCGTGCACACATTGGCATTGCCATACCCCTCCCACCCCCACAACCACTGCTGCGCTCCTCTTCATCATCGCTGTCCATCACACTCTGAAATAGGTACAGTACACATTTCAATTCCTAACTTTCATAAGTTGGAAAAAATCCATCAGGCTAAATTGCACAAGTACCCAATATAATAGGATTTATATTTTCATGCAAATACAGTAAAAGTTCATGCATTCAGTTCTTATGAATGAGTGTAATGTAATAAATAAATAAATAAATTCCATGAATGGCACAACACACCCATAATACTTTGTGTTTAATAGTCGAACCAAAGAGTATAACTCAACAGCATAAGGTACTGTCACTCTCAACACAATATTAAACTTTTATTTAGTAAAATATATTTATACAAAATACAAAGTCAATATCAATGGAACATCCTGTTCCAAAGACAATACAAATAACTTAATAAATAGGATGAATGGATAAAAAGTGCATTAATACATCCCATAAAATTGGCTCACCAAAATGCTCAACTTTTTTATGACTATCTACAGTTTGAACCAAGAGGAGGCCAATGTAGGTGATATGAACAGCTCATGTGCTGCAGCTTGAATGTAAGGTTAATAAATATGCTCAATCAGCTTTCAATTATCAAGTGCACGAATGTCATGCGAATGATACATCAAGTAGAAGTGTGGTAAGTAAGAGGTAGTACGAGATATTTCTTGTAGCTATATCTGTGTATACAGTATCTTATACACAGAGTAAAAGGAATATTTTATGAGAAATACAAATATAATTGATGAATTTCTTGCTCCATACCAAAAGAAAAATAAGCAAACCATCTAAGTAGCTCTCCATACAATACAACAATGAATAAAGAATAAAAGGTAGACGACTCAAGAAAATAAAGTGGATCAAGGTCGTCACAGTCAGACACCTTCACATGAGCACCCTGTAGTGCTGAGGTCTTGTCCTACTGTGTGAAAGCTGTGCCTCTTAGTGATCGAATGATATCAATTTGTAATCAGTGACTTGGTTAACTCAGCTTATGGGTCATAATCAGTGACTGATATGCACTAGCCACAAGCAACAACAAAGGTGTGATACACGTAATCAGAGAATAAAAATGATATAGAGTTTTGGAGGCAATAAATACAAGTACAGTTTTCATTTTAATCAACAGACCTGATCCCTTTCTCAAAACAAATACATTAACTTTAATCAATAAATCAAATTTATTTCTCAAAACCTTAGGCCTAATAACAATCCCTGACAAAGTAGTCATCTATGAATCAAATGACCTTTGAAAAATAAAATATATAGCCATGATGTATCATTGAATTATATTATTTCTTAAAACAAATAGTATACATGTAGATGTATAAAAAAATCCCCTAAAAGATACAGTATCCACATCATTGAATAATAATAATAAAGCCCATGAGTAGATCTGTACACACTATAAGAGAAAAATACAAGGCAGGTTGACAAAACATTTACCCCCGTGTCCGGTCCTCATCCAGGGACAAACACAACACTTATCTTAAATTGGTCTCAATATATCTACTGAAGATGAACTATAAAGCCATGAAGTTCATCCTGAGTGAAATATGTTTTAAGAGATACTACTGTACAGTATTTCTCTCAGTCAGGATTATGGAAAGAATAGTGAAACACGAGACCAACAAAGAAATGGTGGGAGGAGCGATGTTGGAAAGTAATATGAAAAGGACTACTGTATACTAAACTACTCTACTTTTCAGATGACACAAACCAACCCAGTTTAAACAAACAAATACTGGTAGGTTAAATTGTGGTTTGGTTAGACTATTTTTGTTCACAGTGTCTGCTTATAAAAACACTGTACTCCTGTTCATGGTAGTTTTCCAATACTGTACTTGTGGTACAGTACTGTTTTAGGGTTGATACCTACAAAGATGATGATCCCATCTATACCTTCATTATCTTTACCGAGAGCAGCTGAAAACTGATTAGTTTAATATACAGTACCATAAATACACCAATAGAACATAAATTTAAGAAACAAAGTGTAAAAAAAATTACTTCTAAAAACATAATACAGGTACAGCATAACAACTTATATCAGTACAGTGCAATACATGTGTAGCTACTGTACAAAACAAAATATTGCACTGTACAGACACACACCTGTCAGTTTAGCAGCTTATTTCTCCTTTGAATGCTCAATTTACATTAAAGTTTCCTCCATTGAAAAACAGATGTGAGGTGTTTTATTATGTAGGTACTTCAAGAGATATTCATGGTTAATCAAATGAAGAACTACAATGAATAGGATTCTTTCAAAGGCCTTTTAATTCTCTGAGCACATTCATACCAAATTACAGCCATGTGGCACACTCCCTCAAGCCAGGGAGACAAGAATGCGTTCCCAATGCCTATCAATTGATGGTTCAAGCTTCAAAGGGTCACTAATCTGAAATCCATTGGTATGATAATGGAACCTTTCTAACAAAGACCCTCTTGGTTAAGTGGCTTCTCATAATTTTCAGATTAACAACTTTGAACAAATCAAGTGTTGAATGAAGGGGATTTCAGAATATAAATTGAAGGCTACCCTCCAGAACATGACTTTTAAGCATCTCTTACTTTTTCACAAGGTTCACTATTCTTCCTTAAACTGATCTTAACTGAGTTGTTACCAGTACAGCACTGTACAAGAAAAACCACTCCAGGGATTTTTGTGTCTTGGCAGTGGCCAAGACAACACAAGCCCTCAGATGTTCACATTGTTATGGCATGTACTGTACAACTCTCAAACTGATTTAGAGGATGATGACTTTATATCCCAGAAAAATGGTAGATTTTGCTGGTTCTATAACCACTGTGATGCTGAGGCAACAAACCTCCTCACTAAGTCAAAATTTTTCCTCATTAGATCCAGGGAATGATCTAGGGCTGGTATGAAAATAAAAGCCTATGGTCATAACAAGACTCGACAATCAGCTGGTCCTCATGATAAACCCAAATGTAGGCACTGTCACTGATGGAACGAAGTTTGCTCCGGTTAACATCAACATTGAAGAAGCACTGCTCCATTCTTGTGGACGGCTGTAAATGAAGATGAAGCAGTAGTTTGTTTTCCTGAGGATCCCAAATTTGCTGCTTACGAGTTCAAAAAATTATGTCTGCAATGACTATGATTGGAATTCCCATCTCATTCTTCAACAACTTGTCTTGTCTATCAGATCATTTCCAACACCCTGCAGTTAGAGGACTGGCATCTGAATATGCCTGGTTGAAATGTGAAGTATAATAGGGGTCAGTCTTAGGACAATAATGTTTACACTTACATTTGTGGTCTCAAATGCCTCTGTCTGAAGCGCAGAGGAAACACTACAAATTATTAATTGAAGTGATAAGTGTTACTTGACTTTATTTATATAACAATCGTAAATATGCATATTTTGTCAGCACACGATCTCAATCCGCGCAGACTGTACAGTGGTCCCTCGGTTAACGAACACAATTCGTTACACAGTCGTTCGTTAACTGAAAATTTCATTAACCGAATCTATTATTTCAATGGGATATTGGATAATTGGTTCCAACTCAAAGAAAAAGTACATACAGGTTGACAAACCTTTATCCAAAATTCCGAAAACCGAAAAACTCTGAAAACCGAAAGTTTTTTTGTGGAGCAGTTCTTTTTTTTTTTTTTTTTTTAAAATAGGATTAGCCCACCCAGGCACAGATCACTGACCCACATCGGGGCCTGGGGGGCAAAAATTTAATAGTAATAATAATAATAATAATAATTATTCATAGTAAATAAAAAATTTAATAAAAATACACCAAAATAAAATAATAATAATAATAAATAATACAGTAAAAGTCCAAAAATCCGGATGCCAGGAATCCGGACCACCCGGGAATCCGGACTTTTCGAAAACTCAAACTTTTTAAATTTAGCGGGCTTTTGTGGGTTATGTGAATGAATGGAGTTGCTTTAAAAAATTAATTTACATAATTCTAATAATAAAAGTAATTGTAAATTATAGGTAGCTAATTTTGTTAGTTTTGTAATTAGCTTGAACTGAAATGTAAAATTTGAGGCACTATAAATCTTTTGTGTGTATGTGTGCATGCGTGAATGCCACAGCTGCACAGGGACAACAAACGACCACACGATCGCCACTTTAAAACAAGCAATCAAACTGTGACAACGTATGTAATTTTGAGTCCTACTCTTTCCATGTACAGAGTACAAGCCCATAATAATGGCCCCTAAAGTAGATAAACTTCGTTGTGTGAAGAGAAAGAAGAACACATTGAAATTGAGTGACAAACTTGAAATAATTAAGAAACTAGAATGTAATGTGAGCAATGCTGTTCTAATGGAAACATACAACATTGGAAAGTCTACAATTTATGATATAAAAAAGGCAAAGAATAAAATTCTAGAATTCACAGCTTCTTCTGAGCTTTACATTAAAATTGCTGAAAGAAAAGTTTACATTGGCCCAAATTAGAAAATCTTGATAAAGTGTTGCACGAATGGTTTTTGTTAAAACGATCAGAAGGTATGGCAATTTCTGGGCTGATACTTATTGCCAAAGCAAAGTCTTTTAAGGAGGAAATGAACATTGAATCAGAGTGCACATTTAGTGATGGATGGCTTAGGAATTTCAAGACTCGTCATGGTATTAGACAGTTTGTTTACATTTTTGTAAAGTGTTGACTTAATATTTCTTTAAAACTGCTCGTTTTGATAAATGAAGCATGCTTTATTTGCTAATGAATAAACTATCAAAATGTACCTGTTCATCTCTTCTTTATTCCTCCTTAAATTTTAATTTTAAAAGTACTGCCTGAGAATCCGGAAAATCCGAAAATCCGGACCGACCCAATCCCCAAGCAGTCCGGATTTTTGGACTTCTACTGTAATAA